GTTGGAAAAAATTGGAATGTTTTTGATAAGAGTTTTTAACTAATGTTCACTTTTTCTTAACATATTTTAGGACTGCCGAAAACTGAAGAACATTCTCGGCAACCTCTACACGCCCTTCACGCCACTGATTGGCACTCGATGATGATTAGAAACACCAATTGGTAATAGCAAAAATGTACTGTACAAATATGTAAAAATGTTCGAGTTTTTTAAGGATGACTCTGTACCCAAAATGCAGAAAATAAAACTTTTTGTATTATCAGCTTTATTGTTTGTTTGTTGGATTGTTTGCTTGTTTGAGAATGAGGTTAAAACATGCAGTTTTTAACTTTTTTAAAAAGCGGTTTTGTTTGTTTGATGGCTGTTGCATATTGTCAGCATTAGTGTTGGCAAATATTTAAAAAATTGCGTTTAGCAATAGTAAAAGTTTGAAGGTGATAATAAGGTGGTGAAAGTGGTGAAGTTGGTGGTTGTAGTGGTGGTAATGAAAGTGATGATTAGCTTCGCAATGACTAGTAAAGAAAGTGTGTGTGTGTAAAGTGAGGTGTGAGGGATGAACGGGAAAAAAGATGCCTCAAAAATTGCAAAATTAGCAAAAAGAAAGTTCAGATTAGATTAACTGTGCTTATGAAAACTTTCAATCTCCACCGGCCCTCATTGGCGCCAGTCGACAGAGAATGGCCTTCATAAAAGCCGCCGCCCCCAGGGCTGCGTACGGCTGCCACTCCTTCTTCCGGGCGCCATCGCGGTAGTCGGCAATGCCCCGGATGACAATGTACCGGTCCTTCCGATTGCCGAAGATCGACTCAATCACCGTGTCGTACTCAATGTCAAACGCCTTCAGTCCCCACTTCTGGGCAATGTCCTGGCGGAGTTGCTCATTGCCGCCCACCGCCAGGCGGCCCGAGCCGATGGCTCCAAAGTGAATGGCGGGGAAACCCGCCTTCCGAGGATCATATTCCTCTCCCTCAAAGCTATTATCCTCAGGCTTCGCCTCAGGGTGGGCCATCTCAATTAGATCGTTCGTTCCGATGCTCATAAAGAGCTTATCAGTGGCCGGGTCAGGTCGTACAAAGTCCAGATCGTCCGATTCCATCAACTTCTCTCGGGCCTCCACAAGATACTGCTCCCAAGGGCGGGACCCGGTTTCCTGGGCTTCCTCTAGCAGTTTCTTTGCAATGTCCTGCAGTTCCAGCGAATACGGGCACCAGAAGCGGTAGTTGAAGCTGTCCACTGTGTTCAGCTTGGCCACCGCCGAGTTGGAGGCGTTCAACGGCTCGTCCGGAGAAGAGCGGAGCTTCTCACAGTGGACGTACACGTAGTCGGAGCGATTTTGCATGTTACCAGCGGGAAAGTTGGGATAATTTCCATTCGTGCCCTGAGAGTGACCGTTAGCTCGAGGTGAAGCAGGAGGAACAGTTTTTTTCGGTGAAGTCGAAACGACCACGTCGCCGAGGCGAACATGTTGGCGAAAGTCAGTGTAGTGCGGAACGCCGCCGCCGATGCCGACGAGAAAGACGTACTCGACGTGTTGAAAGGTGCCTAAAAGATTAAAAAACGTTAAAAAAGTTTATCGTTATCATCATCACTTACCCAGCAGCCTCGTTGTGGTGTTTCCGGCGGCAATCATCGCTGAACGGGAGTTTCCGACGGCAGGTAACTTGGTGGCCACCACTCGGTGCTGACCAATGTTGCCCAGTGTGTAGACGTTGGATTCACCTAAAAAATGTCAAAGGTCAATTTTTGCTTTAAACTTTAAAATTTTAGACCATTTACCTTCAACCTTGTAGCGCACATAGGTGTCCTTGTTCTCGATCATCGCATCGACGGCCAGTTTTTCGCAGAACTGCGCCGTGATAATGGCCACAGTGGGCGCCTGTGAACGGACCACTTCGGGCATTTGTCGAACTCGTTTGACCTTGGTCTCGTCGCTGGTGACGCGGACCACCTGATCCATTGAGTTTGGATCGGTGAAACGAGCGACTCCTTTGCTAGTTAGGTTCAGAAGCAGGTGGTGTACTTCTTCGGGAGCGGATCGGGTTGAACTAGAGCAAGAGGTTAAAAAAGTTTAGAAAAGGTATTTAGGGAATCAAAAGTTAAAGTTCTTAATGATTACTTTGCAATGTCCACCAGAGAAATCGGGTTTGGGTAGGCGGCCTCGATCATCTCCAGAACCTTCTCCTCGGTTAGTGGTATTAGTTGAGCAATGGAGTTCTCGTCGACAGAGCCTGAAATTGAGAAGAAAGTTTGTCTTTAAAACAAGAAAAACATTTTGAAAATGATGCAACTTTTAAAGTTGTTTGGTTAGTAGTCGAAGCGGTAGCAGCAACAGCAGTTTTTGTCAATGATGATGAAATCTTTAGATTTGGCGTTTGGTTTTAGGGGTTGTTTGCACTCCAATGGGATCATCAAGTTGGGAATAAAGCGAAGGTACAAAGCCAAACAGTAAAGCCTTGGTAGGCAGAGATTGACCAAATCTCGATGCAGAAAATGAACAACAACACTCCAAACCTAGCGATTTTGAAGTGGAAAGTGGAAATTGAAGTTTTTGAAGGTTCTGAAGATTCTTCGGCTTGGGAGGCACCGGCGGCGGTGGACCTCGGCTGCCTCTTCCTTTACCACCGTTGCCAACTTTATTTGTCTGCACTACCACATCAGGAAGTTCAGGTAGTGTGGAAGTGTTTTCCTGCTGAAGTGAGGTGCTTCTCTCTAAAGAAAGTTGGTGATACTTACAAGGTCGAGAGTTTGCAGCTGACGAGGGCGGTCGCTCAAAGGGCTCATCCACGGCTCGCACCTCCAGCTCCAGCTGACGAAGAGGACGAAACTCCGCCGACTGCATCGTCTTCATCAGCTTCATGATGAAGGCGACGTAGCTCTTGGGAAATCCATCAGAGCCTCCGCCTACCAGAGCTCGGAAAAAGGCCTGGGCACAGTGCATCCGGTCTGAGTAGCCGTACTCCTCGAGAACTTCATCTTCAGTCGAGAACCAAAAGCGAAGCTCTCGGCTTTCCTGCTGGTGAATCGAGGTGATGGCGTTGATGAGGTAGACCTTGAAGGCGAGGCGAAGGTCAAAGGCTCGCGAGTTTAAAGCAGATACTGATGAGCCGAGCTGCTTGTTGATGATAATGCCCTGGTGCTGACCGCCCGCCACGTGGCGGCCATTGTGGTCATCAGGGCCTAGGCTGGCGGAATCCTTTGGATCGACGCGTTCCACGCGGAGGATCGTATGGGCGAGCTCCTTCTTGAGGGTGGTCATCATGACAAGGTCTGAGGAGTTTTAGTAGAAAAGTGATTAAAAAAGTTTCTAATTAATGAAAAAGTTTCATCAATTACCTGGATCACTCTCAGGGCCATTTGTTTCGCTAGTGTGAAGCTTTCCATTTATCGTCCCCGAATGACCATTTGTGGTTGCTGCTGCTGCTGTGGAGGCCATTTTGACTGGGGTTTTGTTGTTAATATTCAATATAGTTGTGAGTAGAAGTCGATCTTAAAAAGGCGGGAAAAAGAAAGTGGAAAATTAGGTCAACACTTGCTCTGGTCATTGTCATTGTTGTTGTGGTGGTCAAATAACATGTTTTAGGCATTGCTCATTATTCAAAGGAGCTTTATGGAAATTATCTCTTCTCTCTCTCCTCTGGGTCAGCTGAGCTGGCTAACTTTTGTTGTTCTGCTAATTAAAATGTTAATTAGCAAAACAAAACAAGGTAGAAAACACGAGTGGTCATTAAAATAGTGTTTCGAGTAGTCCAATAGTAAGAAAACAAAAAAAAGAAAAAGATCATTGTCTTGATTGAAAAAAGAAAAGGGAAGAAGAAAGAACTGAACAAAAGCATGCGAATCTTTGGCAGGGCGGCACACAAATACAGACACAATACCGTTCACCGTAGCATCATCATCACCATCATCTGCTCATCATCCACAAAAAAGTGGGCAAAAATTAATAGAAAAACAGGTGGCCGCTCTTCCAAAC